AGAGGGCAAAACTATCAAAGCTTGTTATTCAAAGCAGAAGCAACACTTCTATTTTTCCTGACCAAGCTCTTCTGTCCCACTAAGATTGTTCTGGTCACCTCATTAGCACCTTATTAAAGCACTTTACTGCATATCATATTTTTTGCATTTGGCTAAGGCTGGCATATTGAAAGACAAGCAATGCTTAACTGGGGCACGACCAAAAACAACATTTGTGGATTCTGATATTTGTGTGCAAAAAATTTGGGGCAGGCTCACAACGCCCTCTGTGCTTTGGTTTGTACCAAAAATGAGCAAGACTTTTTCCCTGCATTCTATTTGTTCCTAACTCAAGTGATAAAAATAACCAAAGCAGTGTACACGGATGGTTTAATGCAGAGAGTCCAAAGATGGGAAGAGTAGGCTCACGCTCTCCAGAGAAAGTGCTCGGTGGTAAAGAATCACTTTATTTTCGTGTTTCAGATGACGCACCTCCTGAAGACTCCAGTCCTCTGGTCTTCCCAGATTTAGACCAGCAGCTGCAGGTAAGAACTTTCTGGAGTCTTCTTTCCTCCTGGGTTTTCAAAAACAGATTGAACTGAAGAATGACCGGGTTGGTTGCGAATGAGTGCCTTAGAGACAATGGGGAACTTTCTGGTTGTCAAGGGGAGTATTTCTATCATCCTGAAGTCGGAATGGGGCCTCCTGCACAGTCCCTGTCTGGTACTGTAGTTGCAGGACCAACTATGAAGGGTTTAAATGGAACCCAGCTCCCATTTTTTAAAGGATTTATTTATTTATGCTTACAGAATGGGGTACAGGCCAGAGGTGTGGTGGGTGAGAGGCTTCACCAGAGACAGAATGGGGAGCAGAACAGGCAGATTGATGAAGTACACTGCTGAGGGGAGCAGCAGGGAGACAGGAGAGGTCTGCTGTTCCATGTAGGTCACCCCTCTGGCAGGGGATTGAACTCATGCTGCAGTAGCTGGGGACAGCTTTATCGTGTTGAAACTTTAACCCTTCACTACCCGGGAGGCCCATGGTACTCCTCTTGACTAAAATAGCCCAAGAGTATGGAGCATCATACAGAGTTTGGCAGAGATGAGTACTCTCCTACTTTGCATTGTCTTTTTGGCCACTATCTTTAGTATCTTCAAGGAAACATCATCCTGAGAAGCCAGCAGCTCCTGGTGTGTTGCCTTTTATTCTGAGTAGGGGGAAGATACCTGCTTCTGCTTCACTTCTACTTCAAGTAGGACAACAGGTTTTCTTTAAAAATATGGCTGTGAGGACATCCTTATCACAATTTAAATAGTTTTGTTTTTTTTTTCTTTTTATTGAAGTAGCCTCAGTTTTCATCACTGTGAGTTTCAGATGTGCAGTCTCACAACTCAGCAACTGTGTGTACCACCCACACTCACAACCGCCCCATTCCTTCCTCTCTGGTAACACCATTCTGCTATTCCGTGAAGGTTTTGTTTCTGTTTCATTCATTTTCTTTTTTTCCCCACATGATCCACAAGTGAATGAAGTCTACGGTGTTTATCTTTTTCTTTCTGACTTTTTTCACTTAGCACAGTCCCCTCAGGGCCCACCCATGTTGTTCCAATGGCAAGAACTTATCTTTTCTTTAATGACGAGTCATATTTCACTGTGTAAATACACCACACCCTCCACATCCCTTCATCTATCATTGGATTGTCCTGTCTTGAGCCACTTTTATATGGGCATGATAAGAAACTTGTTGGGTACTTGGGTTGCTTCCTTACCTTGGGTCTGGTGAGTAGGTGAAATAGCTCTGTTTTTGAAATGGGTTGTTTTAACTTGTATTTTGTCTTATTCTCATGTCAGATGTCCTGGGGTGCGTGTTGCCATTCAAGACAAACGGGCCCTCAGGGCCAGAGTCTGCCTAGAGATGTGGGGGCTGTGCTGATGGGGAACTACCAGGACTGGACAAATGCTCGGTTCTTGGAGATTTGGGGGTGACTTGAATATTTTAGGCCAAACTTCTCCATGATGTTTCTAAGAAATGCATGTTTTTCCTTTGTCCTTTTAAAATTCAATAGCATTTTCTTTAACAGTAACAGCCAGTCAAAAATATAATGAAAGTTATAAACCATTCACAACCAATACAGTTTTAAAAAACACACACAAGTTCATCTGAGATTTCAGGAGAAAACATTAAAACTCTTTAAAAAAATAGATATTTAACTAAATCAGAAAGAAATGGTCCAGACTCTTAGCATAGCAGTATTACATAGCTCTAACTATTTCTCCAGTTATCCTATAAATCAATTCAATATCAATGAAAATTCCATTTGGTATTTTGAGGAATTCAACACCTTTTTTACTAGATTTTATATGTGGAACTAAGAGGCAGGAAAAGGTAAGTAGAGCTTCAATAGAAAGTATAGACTGCAGGTAGGCTCATCTGCCTTCCAGGTTATGGTATGCGATCACGTTGAAAGAAGTTATCTTGGTACCAATGCAAGAGTTGATGAACAGTCAAGAGAATGGCATCTTCTCACCCAGCAGCCTGGATCCACTGCCAGTCAGGGCGCTGAGGTACCAAGGACAGAGTCACTGCAGCTACTCAGCTCTGGCATGGAGGTGGTGGACCTGCCTCTGCAAGGATTTTCCGCCTGGGTTTCCTGCCTGCCCCAGGAGGCTGTGGTGAAAGCCCTGTTAGTCGTGGCTTGTGGGAACAGCAGAGGACAAAACTATCAAAGCTTGTTATTCAAAGCAGAAGCAACACTTCTATTTTTCCTGACCAAGCTCTTCTGTCCCACTAAGATTGTTCTGGTCAC